CATCTATCCTATAGTACAACATTCCTGTAAGGTAGGATTAGTGATATTGTTCCTATTTTGCAGATGAAGGGGGCTTAAGGTTGAGGCATAATGGCAACCTAGTGAGCTCATAGCACAGGTAAGATGAGATTATTTGTTATACCTGAGGTCCCAGAAACTGCAGGTATGATTATTCTGAATTTTGTCACAAGGAGAAATGGATATAAACCAGAATATCATGGTCATAATCATCATGATCATCATCCCACGTCTTCTTCCTCCTGCTTTCCAGATTTCTACAAAAATGTGTCCCAAAGTAAATACTGTTGCAGCAATACATATGAGCGTATTATAACTGTAAACAATCTAACACCAATTTATTTTAAAATAACAGGGACATCAAACTCTTCTGGGTCCACAAGCTGCTCATGATACAGCAAAGGCATGATATGGGAGCAGTATTGTTAGAGGATGCATCCCGCTGATCACTTCCAAACCCATTCATTAGACTGTTATCCTCATATAATGAATAACAGGGAAATCAGACCTGCTTTCCATCTTGCACAAAAAATCAGTGTGAGCATCCCAGATCAGAATGAGATGGTGCTTTCACAATGCCTGCACAGCCTCGGATGGGTCTGCATAATAGAGATCCAGCAGAGTTTTTCCATAATACCCTTCAGAGCTAGACTCTAGCAGCTAGACTAAATGTTGCTCTCCTTACAGGGTTCACCAAATGCCATCACTGTGGATCACAGGTAGAGAAAATCTCAGTGCAATGAATCTAAGGACATTATTACAAGAGGCTTTTAAACCAAAATTAAAGTTGGAGAATAGTCGCCTTGGGCCCCACTTTGGGAAAAAAGCAGGATAAAAATAAAATAAAATAAATAATAAAATAGTGTCTTTCACAATACTTGTCACATGACGTCATCTCTCTTGTTGCTGTTGGTAAAGTGTTAGTAGAGTGTCTTTTTTCATTGATGGGGAAAACCGTCAATAAGCTTCCAATATTGCTGCTTTCCCATTAGTCCTCAGTTGTAATAGGTTCCTTCCATTGCAGTTCTGACATTATCATGTGGTGTCAGTGGGTGTGATAGTCTTCCTTTCCCCCTTCCCTCCGGCTATTCCCAAGGAAGCTGTTTTCCTTCTCCCATTTCTTTTATTTTCTTTTAATTTTAAAAATTAAATTGCATTACCATAATTCTGCAATTGCATTTAAAAAAGGCAAGGGGCAGGAAGGTGGGGTTAAGGAGGATGTGTGAAAGAGAATGTGGGGGACAATTGGTAGCAGCATATTTGCGCTATTCTAGAACAGGGGTCCCCGGACTTTTTGATCCGGGGGCTGGTTTGCTGGCCCCCAGATCTTCCGGGGGGCTGGAGGCATGTGTGCGTGCGTGCATGCGCACAACTCCAGGTGCCATTTTGGAAGACAAAATGGCACCCAAGTAGTGTGCATGTGTGTGTGATACCGGGCACCATTTCGTCTTCCAAAATGGCACCCAGAGTTGTGCGCAGGCACGTGCAATGCAGAGCGCATGCGCATGACTCTGGATGCCATTTTGGAAGACAAAAAGGCATATGGCGGTGGGCACGAGCAGTGGCGGCGGCGGGCTGGGTCCAGCCCGCAGGCCATAGTTTGGCAAACCCTGTTCTAGATAAATGAAATAGTGAATGTTTCCAAACTGATATGTTTCCATATCCATAAATAATATGGTTCTAATATGCCTAGCTCTATTGATTTTTGAACTTTTTAGTATGAATATGGATGAAGGCAAAGAAAAGAAAAAAGAAAAGGAAATATATAAGATCCCTAAAATACATTACTAGCTAAATACCATGAATGAGAGCTATGATGGTGTAGAATTTGGACTCTGGACTCTAAAAAACCAGAATTTGAATCCCTGTTCAGCTGTGGAAAACCACTGGGTGACCTTGTGCAGGAAACACTCTCTCAGCCTTAGAGGAAGGCAGTGATGAGCCTCCTCTGGATAAATCTTGCCATGGAAACATTATGATAAATTCACCATATTTTGGAGAGATGACTCGAAAATACATAACAACAATGCAAATATACCATAAACATAAGATGGTCATATGTCCAAATGCACCCATATGCACTTACTCATAAGCATCTACTTGAAGTTGGCATCTATAAAATACACATTTGGATATAGATAAAAAAAAGTCAGATCCTCTGATCATTGAATAATCCAAGGTGAATATAAACCCTGTGCAGCCAGGATAGAGAGTTTAAGTGAAATATTTAAGCCAGTTTTAACCACACACCAAAATGTAAAGATGGCAGTGGTTAATTAGTATTGACCATGACTCTAGAAAACTCTAGGCAGTTTCTCTTCCTCTTCTGCTGTTCCAGCAGGAAAATAACAACAACACCCCAGCCCTCCCCAGACCAGAAATAAACTTTTTCTGACAACAAATTCTTGCTGAGTTCCAGGCCAGGTTGAATTTTAATAGCTGAGTTATAAGGTCCTACACTGAGGGGTTTATGTCCCAAAACTGCTGACACAATTTTAACTACTGCAATGCAAATGGTGGCACTCTAATAAAAGAAGCAGGGGAAGTTTCAATATGTTGTCAAAGAGCCTTGAAAACACTGAGGATGATTTATGGTTAAACAGAGTTGAAATTTTAATGCTCTTTTCTAGCAAAGGTACATTTTTCAGTGCAACTGCTGTAACACAGAGGTGAGTTTGCATTCTGCTACTCTATGTGTGGTGACAGCATAAGCCTTTTCTGATAGGGCAACATTTGCAATCCGAGATTAAAATCTTGGAAACTTGTCAACAAAAAAGGATGATA